CCCATACTCCGCGGACACGAAAGTAGGTCAGGTGCTTGACCGACATCTGTTATGTATCAATTGTGCCTGTGCCCATTCGTTTCATCCCCCGTCTTGTTATCATGTTCCTGTCTTTTCCCTTTCTTTCTTTTTATTATTTCTAAACTCTATTCCTTCAAATAACAATTTCTATTTTTCGTGAATTTCGGTCAGGTACTTTGGCCTAGATATCTTTTAACACTTGTTTTGTTTTTAAGCTTTGTGTGCTTATGACCGGGTTTTGTACTATCTATTTCTCTTTCCTTTTCTTTCTTTCTTTCTTTCTTTTCTTCCCTTCTTCTTTCCTTCGGATCGCCTAAATACAGTTAGAGAATTATTCTCAAAACTCAATTATTCTTCGTCTCTAAATAACTATTAACTGGTTAATAAACCGAATAAAAATAAATCATATATTTATGAATATCTCTATTCAGTTTTCTAATGATGCATGGTGCCACAGTAGAATTTATTTGGACAAAAGAACAACAAACAATTGGCGTTTCAAAATTTAAAATCTGTTTTGGCAAAAAATGCCAGTAGTAAAAAAATTTGACCTTAGAAAGGAAATAGTAGTAACAATTGATGCAAACAAACACCATTTTAGGAATATTAGCTCAGAATGGTCATCTTATGTATATTTCAAGAAAATTGTCAAAAAGCGAATTGAACTATTCAAATATTGAGAAAGAAGCATTGGCCATAATATGGATGACAAATAGACCTTGTTAGCTTTTGATTGGAACGAAATTCCTACTAAGGTCTGATCATAGACCTTTAGAATTTATATTTAATCCTAGGAAGGAGCTTCCTAAGGTAATGTCTTCTAGAATTCTAAGACGGGACTTAATGTTAATGGTATTTGACTTCGATATTGAGTACTTGAAAGGCAATACCATTCTGCATGTAGACACTTTGTCAAGATTAAAATTCATTGCTTCTGAAAGTGAGAAAGAGAAAGAAAAAGTCAAAGATACTTTCTTACACTGGTTCAAAACTCATAGTTTGTCAATAGACAAATTAGCCGAGAATATGAAGTGAGAACAGTATTGTTCACGATAAAAATAAGTAGAATAATTACTCACGGACAGAAAAGTGTTTTAAGGGGGTTAAACACAAGTTAAACACAAGAAAAGAGTGTAGTTTGTAATGGAGAATAAGTGGTTCTGCCAGCAATGCAAAGGAGCAAAATTATAATACATATACATTACAATGTTCACCGCGGAATAATGTCTACGTAAAGGAGATTGAGGCTAGAGGCATGGTGGCCAGGCTATTCTACAGATGTAGAAGAATACATAAAATATGATGTTTTGGGAGTCACTCCTTTTGATTACGGAGTGTGGTCGGTTTTTTTTTTAGTTAACATTTAACAGCTGCTGAGACATTGTCCCACAAAAATATTTGGTGAGCTCATTTGAGTTTGGATAAAAATAAGAAATTTAAAACATGGAATTTAAAACAAACAGCAATCAATGCACGTTATTAGCAAAAGGAATTACGTGTGTACCCAATTGAAATGAAAGGAAAATACATTAAAACTAGCTATAAGAATGTGTATGTGTATGTTTGTGTGTGTGTGTGAGAGAGAGAGATAGAGAGAGAGGTGTGTGAGAGATAGAGAGAGAGATGTGTGAGAGAAAGATGTGTGTGCGAGAGAGAGGTGTGTGCGCATGTGTTTAAGTTCAATAGTCAGTGGATCAAGGAAACGAACACGCCCCAGCACCAATATTCTTTATCTCCGTTCAATTACACCAGGAGACAAGAGGATGAAGAGAAAAGGAATAAAATGTTTACCTTTTTATAGGCTTAAAAATAGCACCACCTAATGGACGTTTTTAGCAAAGCCAAATGGGGTAACACACAATGAATAACATTCAGGTGTTTTAACCTAAAGATTCCCCTGTAGCATATAGGGCCAAAATCCCACCATGCTATTTGATGCTGCTGTTGCAACAAGTAGGTTTTACAAGATAGAGTTGCTAGCCTCATGCTCAGATATTTTAGCAATCAGGGCTGTTATTCTCCTAGACTGGTTGCCAACTAAGGCTAGAGAACCTAGTCGGCCCTGCTATTTAACTCATAGTTGACAGGAGACAAGATGATGCATGCCTTTCCCAAAAGTGAATGCAACAGGCTAGATTAGGATTTGAACCTGATTCTCCAATTTCATTTTCAACATTGATAACTGTTACATTACATGCATGTTTACTATAATGTAAAGTAGGCACAATGAAGAGGAATACTGGTATTGACTGAGCATAGTGTTGAGATGTTGGGAGTGTTCCCGCGTGTGTGTATTCAAATAAGGACAAACACAGATGTAGGGGAAAATACTGGTATATTTGAAGAGGTATTTAACAACAGAGTGATTTGTAATAACGAACGCAGGTTAGTAATAACAATTAGCAAGAGTCTACAGTTCAATGGTAACTTCCGGTAGAGAGACGGAAGTGTAATGGTCTCCAGATCTCTCTGGTCTCCCCTGATCTCTCTAGCACTGACCTATATCGTAGAGAGATCAGTCCATTCTTTTGAGAAGGTGGGTGCGCCCCAAAACATAGCTTGGCACAAGGCCAAATGAGAGAAGAGAACATTTGGGGCAGATTTTGCAATCTACCAGAGATTGAAAATCAGTTTGATTATTTTCACCATTTACTTCTAAAATGAATATTTTGAAAGCAACAGATGCCGTGTTTTCTTGTGTATAATACTACTTCACTACAACACGACCCTGAGTTTATGAAGCTAAAAACAATAAATCACATCGTTGAATAGCTACATCTATTGCAAGGAAAGTTGTATCACTGTGTTGTGTCAAAAAATCTTTCTTGTCAGAGTCCACCTTGCACTTTTATAAATCTACCATTCGCCTGTGCATTGAATACTGCTGCCATATCTGGTCTCGTGTTCGTCCTATTTATCTTAAGATTCTTGACAAAATCCAAAGAAGGATATATAATTTAATCGGTCCTGACTTGGCATCTCAACTTCAGTCATTTTCTCACCAGCGTAACGTGGCTTCCCTCTGTCTTTTCTACAAATATTTTCACGGCAACTGCACTAATGAGCTTTTTTCCCGGTGCCCCACTACATGAATTTAAGTGTGCTACTAAATTGGTATCTAGGTCCAACCTATTTACTGCTGAAATAGTTCAATGCAACCACCACTTCTACTCCAACAGTTTCTTTTCTCGCACTTCCTGCCTGTGGAACTCCATTTACTTGCTTCCTTGATAACTACAATCTTCAAAATTTAAATGAATGCGAGGTCAATGATCATCATCTATCTTCTTGAATCCCTTTCATCTTTTATCCTTTCCTCAATCCTCCCATATACTCAGTCCTTTTATGTTCACTCCCTGTAACCCCATGCATACTAGTGGCATTCCTGCCTTGCTTGGGGTGAAATGATTAATTTTTTTTTGAAATAATATGACCTCGTTGTACAGCCTATCCAATGTAACTACATTTTTAAAAAAAAGTTTTGCTATATTATACATTAAAATTTCAATGTCATACATATATTTCACTAAAATATTTTATTTTCACAACATTAAAGAATGAAAATAAACCAGGTGCTTGGCCATTGCGTGTTTCTGCTCCTAATTTCCACTTCAAAACATTTTCAGGGAAAGGTGCTGATGTAATGGAATAACCTGTTACCCCCATAAGTGACTACACTATAGGTAGTAACTACCTATAAGTATCTGTAAGCCAACGGACTACAGAGTATAGCTGCGACCTGTTCCAGCGAAACAGTCGAACTCTCTGTCTTCGGGCAGAGTTCAACCCGACGTTTAGGGCTCCGCCGAAGGGCAGAGTCTCGTTCAGGGGAGTTGTACGCTGCCCCTGAAACCGTTTATGCGGGTTCAAAAAAGGAATATTTTTGGCCGAGCCTACGGGCTCGGAGAGCCCACGTTAAACTGGCCTTGTACCACATGCAACCCTAGTGGTGGGGTAGCTAAATATTCTAGCTGAGATCTGTTTCAGCTAGACGGTCGAACTTCAGGCAGAGAGGAACTCGGACTAGGCTCAGCCGAAGGGCAGTCTCTCATTCGGGGAGGTTGACTAACCCGATCCCGTTATGCGGGTTCTATGGCCATTTTTTTGGCCGAGCCTATGGGCTTAGAGATCACAGGTTAAACCCGACCTTGTGCCACATGCAACCCTCGTCGGCGGGTGGCTAAATATACTAGCTAGGATCTATTGAGTACAACTCAGACTTACGCGAGAACTACTACTTCCAATAGCAGCACTCACTACTAGATTGACTTGCGACGACCTTGTACATAACTGTTACCTTTATTCTTAATATACTGGTTTTTTACATTAGACCGTTACTTATTTTATCCACCTTGTTTTTCAAGTATATATTCCTATTAGCACGGAATATAACAGGTGCTAACTAGACATACCTGGTAATACATTTTAAGGTGATAATTAATTTTTCATACTTTTCTGTTTGATAAGACTATTATATTTCTATATTTTAATAAACTATGAAAATAAAAATATTGTTTTTCATTAAGAATGAAGAGAAAAACAAATATGGCCGATATATCAAATACCTTTTTTAAACAATTGTTATTAACACCTGCCGACTTTGTGTTTTATTGTCTATTTTGTAGAGGGTATTTTGCTGTTTCCAAAAAGTTTTTTTTAAGCTGAGTAAAAATCTCTGAAAACATTTACCTGTGTATAATGCAAACTCCTTTTTTACCTTTCTGATATTGTGCACAAAAAAATATGAATAAGGTGTGAAAAATGTTACATAGCATTCCCTTGTGAAATAATGGTATTCGCAAGCAGTCACCCATTGAAGTACTGAACAGACTCAATGTTTCTTAACCTTGGTGATCGAGAGGAAGAACCAATGATTCAGCATGATATAGCCATAAGCCTTTTCATAAGAAAAGAATATTGGTAACAGATTAAAATATCATTTGAATATTAAGTTTCAAAATTTAAAGAGAAATCCTTACGTTTAGATGGCCCAGTGTCCTCCGAATTTCATACAAGGTTTTATAGCTTTGGTTCATCATCGTTATTTCTTGATCACAAAGTCCAATCGGATGAAAGTGTAAAAGAGGGCTAATCTTTTTCTTCTGGGCCTCACTTAAACTAGAACAAAAATACATAAAATGAGAGCGTATTTTTTACTATGCAGTTAATATCAAAGTAATCGTTTCTTTATGTGGCATTATTTCCTAATAGTTCAAACATTATTTTATGCATGTCCAGGTTCAAGTAGACATATATATATATATATATATATATATATATATATATATATATATATACACTGCGTGCCAGAAATTATTATCGAGATAACTTTTTTTATAATATTTCAAAGACCGTCCAATCAATTCACACAAAATTTTCACACAATGTTGGCAACACTGACCTGCGCAATCACTGAAATTTTCATACTGATCTGCGCAATGTAAACAAACTGGCGCCATATTTGTTATATTGAAATATAAAAAAGTTATCTCGATAATAATTTGGCACGCAGTGTATATATAAATATAAAAGTCGACATCGAAGCCAACACTTAGAGGTGACAGTCTGTTTCATGCTAGATGCAACTGTCAGGCCATCTAGCATGAAACAGACTATCACCTCTAGACTATTTCACTTTTATATTTACACACAACTCTATCATGATATTGAGCACTTTATCCCAAAAATATAGCACATCTTAAGACTATATTTCTTCATATACATACATACATATATATAGATATATATACACATACACACACACACACACACACACATATATATATATATATATATACATATATACACATACATATATATATATACATATATATATGCATAAATATATATATGTAAAACCGAATGAAAAAAAGGTGTTAACAACAAATACTTTTTCACACCCAAACCAGTTCTGCGGAATCAGAATCAACGTTGAGTTTAAGCAAGCGAATGAGCCAATTGGAGTAAAGTGCCATGCAGATTTAAATTTTTCCCACTTGTGACGAATGCAGCTATCGATTTTTTTTGCATGCTAGTATGCTAGTTAACATTCGTGTCAGACAGCTGTTGGCTCTCACGCTGGCCAATAGTATCTACCTGCCTATTCGTGGCAGCCAGTTATAGGCTCTCACACTGGCCAGTACATAATGACCGCAGACTGCATGAAAACTGCCATAGAAGCATGAAAAAAACGATTATTTCCACTATCGATGGGAGTTGGAAAATCCAAATTCAGTCTTGGCCTTCACGCTAACTTGGAGCATGTGCATGTAAATTTTGGTGCAAATCCGTCGAAAATTGCAGCCGTGCATTCGTTACACAAACACACACACACACACAAACATCCTGCCTTTCATAGATATATATATATACATCTATATATATATAATATACATATATATATTTATTAAAGACATTTTTTTTATGTTTAACGTTGTTTTTTATAGATGCAAGTATTTAAGTAAATGCTCTGTTTATGATAAACAGTATTAAATAACATTTACCGGCCTGAATGTCCGAGAAATTTTCATAGAAAATATTCGTCCTTTGACAGGATTCGAACCTGCATCCTATACGGAACCGTCATTTTATGCTGACGTGCCTTATCCGATCAGCCACAAAAGCGTTCGGTAGGCAAGGTCAATTACTGCTTATAAACTTCAATCTTCCATGAATCTCGTACATTCATAACTGCTCTGGCGTATCAAATGTAAACAAATGACGTCATATATTAAGAAATGGACAAAGACCGACAATTTATTTATTAAAGACATTTTTTTTAATGTTTAACGTTGCTTTTTTTTTATAAATACAAGTATTTAAGTAAATGCTCTGTTTATAATAAACAGCATTAAATAACATTTACCGGCCTGAATGTCCGAGAAATTTTCATAGACAAAGGACGAATATTTTCTAGTAAAAAACTTTCTAAATAGAGCCCACCAGAACTCATCCTCTCGATTACTCTTTCTCAAAGAACTTAACAACGCTAAACAAACACTAATTAACAACGGTTTCCCTAACTACCTTATAGACCAACAAATTAGACTATTCCTCCCCAAAGCAAGTAATAACGATAGCGAACACACAACTAAAAATCACATACACATTTATTACAAAAACCAAATGCATATTAATTACAAACAAGATGAATCTTCTCTAAGACATATTATAAAGAAATATACTACTCCTATTGATCCTAATAAAAAAATCAAACTTATTATCTATTATAAAAAAATTTAAGACAGCCAACCTTATCCTAAAAAATAACAACACACCAACTAAGTCAAAATTACAAGAACAAACATTATCTATGAGTT